ATCCAGCATTTATCTTTTCTTTAGTTTTGCTTGCCCCTCTCACTTCGCCGAGCTGCTCCGGGAGCCCCGTCGCGCGGAGGGTAGCTCCCAGAGCCCCAGCTGGTGTGGCCAGGCCCCAGGAATAGGATGGGGCTCCCCCTACGAGGGCCGGTGGCAGCCAGAACTGATACAGCCCCTTTGGACTGGGGGCAGGACGCCAGCTGAGGAGGGCAGGAGTGTCTGGAGCCATGGCTGGTGCCTCGGTGAAAGTGGCAGTGAGGGTTCGGCCCTTTAACGTCCGGGAGACCAGCCAGAATGCCAAGTGTGTGGTCAGCATGCAGGGCAACACCACCTCCATCATCAATCCTAAACAGAGCAAGGATGCCCCCAAAAGCTTCAGCTTTGACCACTCCCACTGGTCACACACTTCGGTTAGAGGACCCCCAGTTTGCATCTCAGCAACAAGTGTGTCGGGACATTGGAGAAGAGATGCTGCTCCATGATTTTGAAGGCCACACGTGAGCATCTTTGCCTACGGGCAGACTGGGGCTGGGAAATCCTAGACCATGATGGGCCGACAGGAGCCAGGGCAGCAGGGCATCGTGCCCAGCTCTGTGAGGACCTCTTCTCTCGCGTTGGTGAGAACCAGAGTGCTCAGCTATCCTGCTCTGTGGAGCTGAGCTATATGGAGATGTATTGTGAGCGGGTACGACACCTCTTGAACCCCAAGAGTCGGGGTTCTCTGCGGGTCCAGGAGCACCCCATCCTGAGCCCCGAGTGCTGGACCTGTCCAAATTGGCTGTGACCTCCTACGCAGACATTGCTGACTCACGGACTGTGGAAACAAAGCACGGAGTGTGGCTGCCACCAACATGAATGAGACCAGCAGCCGTTCCCATGCTGTCTTCACCATTGTCTTCACACAGCGCTGCCATGACCAGCTTGGTGGGCTGGACCGGAGAAGGTCAGTAAGGTCAGTTTGGTGGACCTTGCTGAGAGTGAGCGGGCTGACTCCTCAGGGGACGGGCCTGCGCTTGAGGGAGGCGCCGGTATCAATAAATCCCTGACTACTGTAGGGAAGGTGATCTCGGCCACTGCGGGTATGCGGTCAAACAAGCGGAAGTCGGATTTTATTCCCGACAGGGACTCTGTGCGCACCTGGCTGCTCACGGAAAATGTGGGTGGGAACTCACACACAGCAATGATTGCAGCCCTGAGCCCTGCTGACATCAATCACGACGAGACTCTCAGCACCCTTGGGTGTGCCGAACGCACCAAGCATATCCGCTGCAAAGCCATCATCAGCGAGGACCCCAGCGCACGGCTGATTAGAGAGCTACAGGAGGAGGTGGCCCGGCTGCGGGAGCTGCTGATGGCTCGGGGACTGTCAGCCTCTGCTCCGGAAGGCCTGAAGGCAGAAGGGAGTGTGGAGGTGCCCTGCCAGCTGCATCGTCTCCCCCCGCTCCGGTGTCACTGTCATCGCCCACCACACATAACGGGGAGGTGGGGCCGTCATTCTCCCCAAACACGGAGCCCCAGATTGGGCCTGAAGAAGACATGGAGAGGCTGCAGGAGACAGAGAAGATTATAGCTGAGCTGAATGAGACGTGGGAGGAGAAGCGCAAGACAGAAGCGCTGAGGATGGAGAGAGAAGCGTTGCTGGCTGAGATGGGGATGGCCGTCCGGGATGATGGAGGAACTGTGGGCGTCTTCTCTCCAAAGAAGCCTCCCCACCTGGTGAACCTGAAAGAAGACCCTCTGATGTCTGAGTGCCCGCTCTACCGCATCAAAGCTGGCGTTACCAGGGTCGGCCAGGTAGGTATGGGCATCACGCTGACTCGACAGTTTATTCGGGAGCGACACGTCTGTTCCGTAGCATACCCCGGCCAGGTGGAGACGTGGTGGTCACTCTGCAGCCGTGCGAAGGAGCTGAGCCGTATGTGAATGGGAAGCTTGTGACGGAGCCGCTGGTGCTGAAGTCAGGGAATAGAACTGTGATGGGGAAGAACCACGTTTTCCGTCACCCGGAGCAGGCGAGGCTGGGACGGGAACCAGGGGTCCCTGCGCCCCCAGGCCCGCGCTCTGAGCCGGTGGACTGGAACTTCGCCCAGAAGGAACTGCTGGAGCAGCAAGGCATCGACATCCAGCTAGAGATGGAGAAGAGGCTGCAGGATCTGCAGAATCAGTACCGGAAAGAAGAGGAAGACGCTGATCTTCTGCTGGAGCAGCAGCAGCAGCTGTATACGGACTCGGACAGCGGGGGTGACTCTGACCAGTGCCCCTGTGAAGACAGCTGGCGGCTCATCTCCCCCTTGCGGGAGCAGCTGCCACCCACTACGGCCCAGACCACTATCAAACGCTGTGGTCTGCCCAGCAGTGGCAAGCGCAGGGCCCTCGCAGGGTCTATGAGATCCCCCAGCGACGGAGGCTTCGGGGCAGAGACCCTCGCCGGGCCACCATGGCTAACCCCAAGACGCAGGCAGAGAAGGAGATCTGCTGCGAGGTGGCCTTGGCTGAAGACGCAGGCAGTGAAGGAGACGTGCCGTGAGGTGGCCTTGGCTGACCTCCGCCACGGGCAGGCTGGGATGGAGGCCCTGGCAGCCCTCACGATGCAGGAGCTTTGTCGCACCATGGCAAGCCGGAGGGCCCCGGGGACGCCTGGAGGGCTGTGGCCCGGGATGTCTGGGACACCGTGGGCGAGGAGGAAGGAGGCGGAGCTGGTAGTGGCGGTGGTAGCGAGGAGGGAGCTCGAGGGGCAGAGGCGAAGGGCCTCTGGGCCCACAGAGACAAGCTGACCGGGATTCTGCAGGAGGCGACGCTGCGGAGCAGCACCAAGGCCCTGCGGGACCGCATGCTCCGCATGGAGAGGGTCAGCCCCCGGCCCAGGATCAGGAGGATGAGAAGGAAGAGATGGTGAGGTCCCCTGGGCCCCGCCTGAAGGATCAGAGGCAGCAGAGGAGGCAGCGCCTAGTGACCGCATGCCACCAGCCCAGCCCCCCTCACCACCACTTTCAAGCTGGGGGCGGGTATCACGGCTCATGGAGGAGGACCCTGCCTTCGATCCGGTCGTCTTAGCTGGCTCAAGCAGGAGCAGCCACCGCTGCAGGGACTGCAGGCCTCTGGGGGCCGGCGCGGGGGGGAGGCGCTGCGCAG